TAAAGATATACAAATCCCTGTTATATTGCGTCTTTTCTTTTCTGTTGGCCAAATATTTTTCTGTTTGTATTTCATGACAGATTTATATATAAGATCCTCATTTGATTATGTAATATCATCGCTAAAATTATTGTCGATAATTTTATTCCTTTATCGATTCCCTTTACTTTTATGACATAACATATCAAGATCTTTTTGTTGTTTTCAAATACTTAAACCTCTTTAAGGGTCAAATTGTTATGTCTTAAGCTCTTTTGCAATTTATGCCTCTTTATTATAATCATCATGATCATTTGCTCCTTTTTTTCGGGAATTGATCATATTTTCATGTTTTTAACATTTCTTAAAAAATAGGAGCATTCTTAGGGACCAAAAGATTAATTTTCCCATATAAAAATTAAGAATTCTCATTTGGGTCAGTAATTACATCTGGCATATATTAGTAATATTTTATGAATGTAACACTTTATGAACTTCTAATTCATACTACCATATTTGGGAACATGCAATGTAGGTCTCCTAAATCTATAAGTCTCCTTTAGAAATATTATTTTATTTCATTTAGAGACAAACAAGAATAAGGAAGTTCTTATCGAACATTGATCCCAACTTATATTTAATACCCATCTGTGTGTATTATTATGGTGGAATAATAGATATTGCACATTCTAAGATAAAAAATGTCTGGCTCCTGACTAAAAGCCAATTATGATGGGAGAATTCACAATACATTATTTGCTTGATGCATTTATATGCAAAATATATAAAATCAATCATCCCAATACTCAAATGGGAATTTTGTTCTCATAAACTCTGGTCTAACTATTTATAGAGGCTTTTACTAAGCATATAATCATCAACAACATGAGGAACAACCACTGGCAATCTCAACAAGAATCATATTGATTTCATAGTCAGAAACTTATGTACTCAATGTAATTATTTGAATATATTTGCAAATTTTGGATTATAAGTTGATCATAAACACTTATAACAATTTCATAGTTGCATCTTTCACTCATAAAGTATCAATTTGGTCCACCTATATCTAAATGGACCCATGTATAAACTTAATGCATTATAAATCTACATGGATCCGATTTTAAGCACAGCTAATGATGTTCTTTTATTTATGAGAACAAACAGCATATAGAAATTCTTGAATCATATATTATTTTTAAAGAATCTTCTGGTTCTTTAATAAATGCCAATGCACATTTTTCATGATATTTTGCATCATTGTGATCTGAAATGATCTGATCGGTCATGCCAAATTATAAATGTATGAACTTCTGGTTTATTGTAAAATTATTCTCAATTATTAGTAAACTTATTGTTACCATATCATATTATTCATTTTTTACCTTAATATTTCATAAGGAATATGTTATTAATTATGGATTTTATCTTTAGGATAATAAATCATGATATAGCTCTTCTAGAGCCTTATTTTCCAATCTTTCATCCAATAGTAGAGACTTGTGCACTCATGGAGGGTTAAGCGCCACTGACTCTTCTAAAGTCTTTTTCAAAAGGAATATGAGATATAAAAAATGACATGAATATTAATAATAACAAATTTCATCCAACATAATTCACACTTATATTCCAACAATCTCCCCCTCAAGTGTGAGTCATATAAATATACTTTTCTTATTTGTGTATTTCAAAAAGAGTGAATAGTATATAGTAAACTAATAACATATCTTTAACTTAAAAATTTGAGTGCTTCTTGATTTAGATATAATCATGGATTTTAATCTAATTGAGCTGTCGCCTTAAGACTCTTTGATGAACAAATATTCTGATATATATACATATGTTTGTGGGTCATAATTTTCATTATTAATTTCTTTTCTAACCCACAAAGAGTGGGGAGATCTACTTAGCTATTCAAGAACTATATCGATTTTATTACCAGTTCTTTAGGAACTATATCAACTTTTTGTTATTAGTCCTTCTAGAACTACATTAATTTTTTTTTATTACATATAGTTCTTCAGAAATTAACATATATTGTTATTTCACTATATCATATATTTAACTTCTTGTTATGCTTTTTCAAAATATGAAGTATTTATTTTTTTCACAACATATATATTTTCTCAATATTTCATTATTCAAAAACATTACTTTTTTTATTTATTCTATAACACTTTAAATCTTATTCATAAATTTATAAATCTAACAGAAATTTGAAAAGATCTATAAGGACCAAAATCAAACTATATAGTTATGAAGATTTGAATCATAAGCTTTCAAGGTTATTTATAAGTTATGAGTCTTTAAGATATAAATATATTTTTCAAAGATCATTTATGTCACTTTTTGAAACATAAGCCTTCAAGGCTTTAAAAATGTCACAAGTTATAAAACATCATAAGTTATTCTTTTCATATCATTTAATAACATGAGTGTAATGGTTATTAGCCATTTAGTAATAGGAAATCATAATATTAATAAATATCAACTTGAATGTCAAGAATATATGAGAATAAGATAAAAATAAAATTTAAACTTTAAATTAATTAAATGTAAAATATTAAATGTAACATGAAATAAGGAGAAAAGATAAACTCCAATATCAACACATCTTTCACTACATAATCATTAGTTTTCTGGGTTATATTATTTATAGTTCTAATTGTTATAATTTTTTCTTTTATAAATAAGCCATATAATGATCCTCCTCAAAATCAAAACTATATGGCTTCAGGCTATTTAATAAAAAAATAAAGATACATGGCATCTAGTTATTTAATTTCAAAATAAACAAAATCAAAGATATATGGCTTCTAGCCATAAGGTAGAAATTTAAAGTTATATGGCTTCTAACCATTTAATAAAATAACAAAAAATCAAATATATATGACTTCTGGTCATAAGATAGAAAACCAAAGTTATATGGCTGCGAGTCATTTAATAAGATATAGAAAAATTAAATACATATGAGACTTCTAGCCATAAAATAAAAAGTCAACGTTATATAACTTTTGATTATAATATAGAAAATCAAAACCATATGGCTTGTAGCTATTTAATTTGAAAAGAATGAAAAATCAGAGTTATATGGCTTCTGGCCATTTAATCTCAATAAGATGAAAAATTAGAATTATATGACTTCTAGTCATTTGACTTTAGACGTTAACTCTTTAAAAATACTGCTAGTATCCATTGAAATTTTGAATTCTATCGAAACAGTGACATCAGGTCAATGAGGAATAGATGGGGAAAAAAAATCTCTCATCACAATTAGTATGGAAGGTATAATAGCCATATCAAAAATTAATTATAGCGCTAAAATGTAAAGCAAAATTTCCAATCTTAGCCATGAAATCCAATGTATAAAACAACGGTAAAAGATATTTTCAATTTCATATAATGGCTTAGATTATCCTAGAAGATCAACTGCATATACAAATACTTTGAAACACCATGTATATAATGTTTGAGATATTTTCATTTGAATAGAACAAACGATACTTTAGAAAAAAATCATAGAGATGATACTCTAAAGTTATGCTAAGGATAAAAGGTATATCATACGTACCTTGGTTAGAGTTTCGTGCTGATAACGTATTATAAATAAAGAAAAAATAGAGAAGAATAATAGAGAAGAAGGCAGGATCAACAAGAAAGATTATTTCTCAGTCCATTCAAGAGTACTCAATACATTATACATGGCCTTTATTTATAGACACAACTTTACATTTTTGATAGAATTTACAGATTATATAATAAAAGGAGATAATTGTGGGATATAGAGATAACAGGAGATATTAGAGATTATAGGAGATATAAGAGATGGTGGGAGATATATGGATACCCATAAAGATATTATTATATTTATAACATATTCATCATTATATTGTATCTTTAAAACTTATGATTTTGACCAATATATAGCACCAGGCGCGTTAAATTAAAGTTATTATGTTAAATATTCTAATTATTTAATATCAATTAAAATTTATACTAAAAATTTTAAAATCATTAATCTACTCTAGTGTGTGAAGAATTTTCAACAAAACCATAAAAATCCATGCAAAGATCGAGTAATTTGGTCTTGAAACTACAAAAGTACACACACACACACATATGAGCTGTAACATACATTTAATTTAGCAATCTTTTCACTGATGTATCCCTTTTGTTCATCCAATTATAAGTGAATGATACTTTTTAATTTCTACCCCCATCAATGATGGGTTGGCATACTAAGTAAAGTGACGCAAAATGAATTAGATTTACGAGATGAATGTAAGCTCTATTAGAGTATTACAACAATTACTCTTGGATGATACTATTGACTATATACTCTAGGATTAATGAGAGGTGAAGATCTTAGCTGACTTTCCTGGTTTGGGTGAGATTTTCTTATCCCACGCCTTTAACACAGCAATCAATGGCCCTTTATATAGAGCCTTGCTTAACTAACTAAAATAGGTTTAATAAAACCATCAAAAAATATATTCACACTTGACAAAATAAAAATCTTTTTAGATATTTATCTTGTACAATATTAAAGATAAGTTAAACCAAATTTAAGTTTAGCTTCGCTGCGCATCTTGTTCTGAGATTATTAGCGTGCGAGTTCAATGTTTTTTAAGTTTATGAAGTTCTAAAAGAAAACACAATAATTTGTCAGAACTTTTGCATTTTATATACATGCGTTAAGTTCATTATATAGATATCTGTGGATATTTCAACAGACTGATGTTGTCCAGACGATGATGATGATGATCAAAGGAAGGTCGATAACAAATCACTTGCCTTCTCTTGAATGGATGCATCTTATTATATCATTTCTTGAACCAGCTTCCTCCATAAATATAATATATATACAAGGGTTATCATGAGGAGGAGGAAGAAATTAATGGGGAGGAGAGCGATCGAAGTCAACAATATACAAAAGGAAGGGGTAATTTGATAATTTTACAGAACGAGCGGGCCTATATATACATATTATTACCACCATCCATGGCTGGAGAGGAAGAAAAGAAGGCAAAAGAGATCAATGGGGAAGGTCAGCGTCGCATTGTGGGCGGTGTTCGTGGTGAGCTCAGTGGGAATAGCATGGGGACAGAGCGCCACCAATGTGAGGGCCACCTATCACATGTACCAACCAGAGCTTCATAACTGGGATTTGATGGCCGTCAGTGCATTTTGCTCCACCTGGGACGCCTCCAAGTCTCTCTCCTGGCGCCGCAAATATGGCTGGACTGCCTTCTGTGGCCCCGTCGGCCCCCGTGGTCGGGCCGCCTGCGGCCGCTGCCTCCGAGTCACCAACACCCGCACTCGCGCACAGCAGACCGTGAGGATTGTGGATCAGTGCAGTAACGGCGGTTTGGACCTGGACGTCGGAGTCTTCCGGAGGTTGGATACCGACGGCAACGGCAACGCTCAGGGCCATCTGTTCGTCAACTACGACTTCGTCGACTGCCACGACTGATACGTCCGATCGATCTCATCATCCCAACCACTTCTCTTGCTTTGAAAATAAAAGCACTTTAGTTAGTTATCAGAGGGTGCCCAGCATTCTCTTATACCCTGTTTGGTTTATGAAATCAATGTAATAATGGTTGGGAATGTAACGTAATAAAATGATGATTTCAATAAAGTTGTTTGCAGCTACTCTCTGTACTACTGCTATAAATCATTTCTAGCTAATTTCCTATTTTTTTGTATATCAATAAAAATAGTTAAAATTATTAAATTTATCACAAAATTTAAGTAATTGTTAATATTATCCTTATTAAATATGGGAATATATGGTAAAAAGTATTTAATGCTCCTTGAAATTAAGCAAATGCCTTATAAAGAGCTAAAAATACTTGTTAGTTGATGCTTTATAAGAAGGACCAGAAATATAGTAGAGTTGTTTAATACTACCTCCGGTTTTTGACATAAAAGTTTGTTTAACTTTTATTTGGTTCTAATTATAAAACTCTAATTCATTTTGATTGTCATATTATCTATTTTTTTAAAAGTAATCCTTGTAATAATAATAATTCTAACCAATATACTTAGTTAGTAAGAATATTTTAAGAAAAACAACACATATTTATTATAAATAATTAATTTAACTAATTTTTTTAATCTATTCAAATTAATCAAGTAGCTCTTAAATACTGGGTAACATCATCTTGGTCCTTATTATTTGTCACTTGTGCCATTTTTAATGTTTCATTTTCAATTCTAAGCCTACTAATTATAGTAAAGATGGAGAGAAAGTGAACAAGTGAGAGAAAATAAAAACAATTAAAAGCGGTGAATTTGTCATTAAATTAAATTTAAGTCATTTTTATTTTTACTAATCATACTAAACTTCAATATCGTATTAATTTTTATTCTTTCACTACCTTTATTAGATATGGATATATATGGTAAAAAAGAAATATTTAATATTAATATTCCTTGAAATTAAGAAAATGCCTTATATAAAAGGGAAAATGACATTAAGGTCCCACACAAGCAAATATACAGCAAATAGTCCCTTGAAATGTGATAATTCTTCTGAAGTCCCAAAGGGATTTGACTACAATTTTTAGAAAGTTAAAATGATTTCCTTGCCCTAGCGTATCAGAAATAGAAGTATTGAGGTGAGTTTCCTGCACAGTGTGGCTCTGTTATGACTGAGAGAGAGGACGTGGAGAAAGAAGGAAGGAGCCATTCTCCCCCATTACTATTAGTGAACTTCAAAGAGGTTCCATTTGAATCTCCATAAATTTTCAGATCTGGAAATTTCTTTTCTCTCCTCTCCTAGAACATTTTTCTTGACAGATTGATTGTGTTTGGGAATGAGAAATCAAAAAATCATTTTTTCCTTTGGTACTGTAAAGCCTTTGTTTTCAGTCTAATATGAACAAGTAAATTAATGGAAAAACTGTGTTTTTGGCTAGTGTGTGTTGGTGATTGAAGTTGGATTAATAGGATAATCATGGATGCTCTGTTTTTGGGTGTATTATGGGTGGTTTTGCTCTGTTTGGCATTACTTCAGTGGCAAAGGAAGAAAAAAATGAAGGTTAGTATGGGTAGAAACCCTTAATACAAAATGGAATATTGTGTTGTCAATCAAGCCGTAATAGTTGTCAATGTGTGCCGCGACAGTTGTCAAGGTTGCTACTTGACTTGTCAATGACAGTTGTGTGATTCTTGATGCAGATTTATATTATTGATGGCGAGTACGTATGGAAAGCATCTATTGTTCTTTGTTCATATAGGAGAAAAGTTTATAAATGATGGAAAAGATGATATGAGATATGTGAAAGGTAGTGTAAGAACAACAACTATAAAAAAGGAACAAGTTATGAAGAATTGAAGGAAATTATATCATCAATTGTTGGAAAAGAAAGTAACTCATTTCTCTTGAAATTCTCAGTTGTGTTTGATAAAAAAAACATTTGTGGAGTTGGTAGATGTTGATAGGGTAGAATATTTGATAAAGTTCAATGAAGGAAATGGTCATATGTATGTAGAAGAGAATGGAATCCATATAGAAACAACAAGGGATAATGCAATGGAGGAGCAAGATGTGTAAGTTTAGTTTAACAAATATGTTACTGTCATTTCTTGGTATTTTAGTTGTTACTGTCTTGCTACCAACTTGCCAATGCATGCACCCTGATTTATCATTTCCTGCAAAATTGATCAATTATTTGAAGGTGTCAATAAATTGTCTATATCTCCACCTACCTTGTTGGATGAGATTGGAGAGCCACCATCAATTCCTTGTGTTGTTGATACTCCGATAGTGAACTACAAGAGTTAAAGGTTGGCTATTTGTGGTGGTTGGTTAGCCATCCAAATAATGAACATGGGGATGAAGTGATGTCGAAGCTATCGAACTATAATAAGAGCAAGAAGAGGAGATAAAGTAGTCAATTAATTTTTTATTCTGTTAGGCCAGGATGTGTTGTAAGACAAGTAGTAATAGCTCAATGGTCAACAAGTCATTTTGTAACAAACTGATTAAATTATGTTATAATATTATTACCTTTGTAATTATTGACAAGAGACAGTGCGACCACTGACAAGGGATAGTGCGACCATTGACAAGTCAAGATGCCACCACTGACAAGGGACAGTGTGACCATTGACAAGGGACATTGCGACCATTAACAAGTCACAGTGCCACCATTCACAAGGGATAATGCAGTTATTGATACTTCATTAATAATGATTATATATGACAATATAACCAAAATATAAAATGTCAGAGTGATTTAAAATATCATATGAAACTAAAACAGGTTATGTAACTTGAATACATATTGTTGACAACTTACATTTGCAAATTAATTGACAAGTCATACTGTAATGACTGACAAGTCATAACAACTCTATTGACAATGCAGGGTGCAACTAATTACAACTGAAATGATAGCAAAATGTCAGTTCATGGCTAATTTTCATTTACACCTTCATATGCATGAAACTACACCAACTTCATAACCCATCCTAACAAAAATATAGGGTTGCATGTAATTACCAAACTAACTATTGGTGTGCCTCTATTTACAAAAAATTCCATTCACACCCATTTACAAAATATTCCCTTCACATCCATATACAAAAAATAGCTGACTTCAATATATTCTCAGCTAGGATTTGGGTTCTTGTATGTGTTGGCAATGTGTCCAGGCTTTTTGCATCTTCCACAATGATACACTTTCTTATTTTGTAGAATTCATTTGTGGTGTAGGTGTTGGGATCATTTCAACATCACAAGGAATTGATGGTGGCTCTCCAATCTCATCAAACATGATAGATGGAGACATAGACAATCCATTGATACCTTTAAATAATTGATTAATCCTGCAGGAAATGACAAGTCAGGGTGTATGCATTGGCAAGTTGGTAGCAAGACAGTAACAATTGCAATACCAAGAAATGATAATAACATACTTATTAAACTAAACTTACACATCTTGCTCCTCCATTGCATTATCCCTTATTGCTTCTATGTGGTCCTTATTTCCATTCTCTTCTACGTACACATGACCACTTTCTTTATTGAACTTTATCAAATGTTCTACCCCATCATCATCTACCAACTCTACAAATGTTTTTTTTATCAAATACAACTGAGAATTTCAAGAGAAATGAGTTATTTTCTTTTCTAATAATTGATGACATAATTTCCTTCAATTTTTCATAACTTGTTCTCTTCTTTATAGTTGTTGTTCTTACACTACCTCATATCATCTTCTCCATCATTTATAAACTTTTCTCCTATATGAAGAAAGCACAATAGATGCTTTCTAGATATACCCACCATCAATAACATCAACCCGCATCAAGAATCATGCAACTGTCATTAACAAGTCAAGTAGCAATGTTGACAACTGTCACGGCATATATTGACAACTATCGCAACCTGATTGACAATACAATATCCCATTTCGTACTAAGGGTTTCTACCCACACTAACCTTCATCTTTTTCTTTCTTTGCCCCTGAAGTAATGCCAAAACAAAGCAAAACCACCCACAATACACCCAAAAATAGAGTACCTATGATTATTCTACAAACCCAACTTAAATCATCAACACACACCAACCAAAAACACAGTTTTTTCATTGATTTACTTGTTCATATTAGATCAAAAACAAAAGCTTTGCAATACCAAAGGCAAAAATGATTTTCTGATTTCTCATTCTCAAACACAATCAATCTGTCAAGAAAAATGTTCCAGGAGAGAAAAGGAAAGAAATTTCCAGACCTAAAGATTTGTGGAGATTCAAATGGAACCTCTTTGGAATTCACTAATGGTAATGGGGAAAATACTTCATTATCAATGGCTCCTTCCTTTTTTCTCCACATCCTCTCTCTCTCAGCCATAATAGAACCCCACTGCGCAGTAAACTCACCTCAGCACCTTCTATTTCTGAGATGCTAGAGCAAAGAAGTCATTTTAACTTTCTGAAAATTGCAGCCAAGTCCCTTTGAGACTTTAGAAGAATTATCACAATTTAGGGGACCTTTTTGCCGTGTATTTGCTTGTGTGGGACCTTAATGTCATTTTCCCTATATAAAAACAAAAACGACTTGTTAGTTGATGGCTTGTAATGAGCCTTCTAGAAGCATAGTAGTAAGTTTGTTACCACCAAAATGTTGACCAGGTGCAAGCAGTGTTGGTGGAGGAGTAATAATTGTGAGGGAAATGGGTGCCTGAGACGAATCCTTAAAAGATATCCATCCATGTTCTGTGTTTCGTGGACGACTAATGGTGGCCCTCAACTTTTTTGACTATCTTTTAGTGGACAGCTCGGAATCTTTAATCTGTTTACCTCTCATCCTAATCTACATTTTTTTAAGAATTGTACTATAATCTTAACACAATCAAATTTATAGAATACAAAATAATAATGTGAAAGAAATTTTGTCTAAGTGAAAGCACTTATAAATGCTTATACATTAATTGCAAATCCAAACGACCCCTTACTAGTTCACCCCACTTATAATTACGCAGCCTTTGATATTATTATCTCTCCTCTTTTTTCCTATTTTCTCAACACTATTATATTCCAACATTATGATCGGTTTAGTTTCCTCCTGGCTTAGCTTACATAACGATAGACATATATACCTAATTTGATTTGTGACTATTCATTAACAATTACACCTACTACT